ATTTTAGTTGTTAACTTGGGCATTTTCATTCATTTTCAATACAGGACATTGAATTCCAGAAATTATGCTAAGAACAACGAAATTGTGTACTTTTTTTATTTTTTTGGATTCATGACCAGATTAATGGGCACGACTTGGAACGTGACATCTAGTCATCATTGACGTGGTAAATGATATGGTAATGACATGGTAGCTGACGTGCCAGGTGACATGGCACCCAGTGAATAACTTCTAAAAGGCCCAGTCAGTAGCTTCTAAAATATGGATTTGCAGCCGGATCATTTCAAGTAATTTAAAATTCAAGTTTTTAGGATTTATCTTTTTATTTTTAGGATTTAAATTTAAATAATTATCTTTTATTATTCAACTTATTTTTAGGGTTTTTAGAAGACTAAAAATACCATTTGGGGTAAACCTAATAGAATAATCTTTTTTATTTCTTTCTTTTGTTTAATAAAAATTCTTTTTTTTATTTTCATTTTTTTTTAATTTCCTTTCAAACTGGGGCTAAAGCGATAACTCAATTCCAATACAAATATATTTACTTGCATAATGGAAACTCGATTGTGAGTATCTTCACCATTCATCACGCAGGCAAGTTCTCGGACAATTTCTTCATTTGAAAGCAAATCCCACTGCAGATATATTTAACCATATGAAACTATGCATGCATGTAGAAACAGAGGAACTTGAGCATATTAATGTCCGACATCTAACCAAATTGATAAGAAAAATTAAGTATTAAGAATTTTTTGAACTATTTTGAATTTGGATCAATTTGATAGAATCAATAAGTTTTATGGATTAAAATTATTAATTTCTTTCTTTTGTTTAATAAAAATTCTTTTTTTATTTTCATTTTTTTTAATTTCCTTTCAAACTGGGGCTAAAGCGATAACTCAATTCCAATACAAATATATTTACTTGGCAAGTTCTCGGACAATTTCTTCATTTGAAAGCAAATCCCACTGCAGATATATTTAACCATATGAAACTATGCATGCATGTAGAAACAGAGGAACTTGAGCATATTAATGTCCGACATCTAACCAAATTGATAAGAAAAATTAAGTATTAAGAATTTTTTGAACTATTTTGAATTTGGATCAATTTGATAGAATCAATAAGTTTTATGGATTAAAATTATTATTAGACCAATACCATGTCACCATTTCTTCCGTTAAGTCAATGATCAAATTTAGGAGTAAGTAAAACTCGACTCGACTTGAAAAAATCAATTTTTTCGACTTGACTCGATGCAAAAAAAAATCGACTTAAATCGAAAATATTTTAAATTTTAGTTAAGTTATAAAATAGAACTCAAATAACTTAATGGATTGACTTTTAGTAATTAATAGATTGATTTTTAAATTCATGTCAAATCCCTCAATTTTACATGTATATTGCATATGAAAAAATATGTGTATATCGTATATGATTATAGAAAATTGTTTAAATTATAATCAAATAGTACCATAACATTATAAATATTTACACTTAAATTTAAACAATAACTTGAACAACTCAACTCGAGTAGAATTTCATAAACTTGACTCAACTTGAAATCTTTTCAAATATAATTTGAGTTATAAAATAAGACTCATAAATTAGAATAATTCGACTCGATCGAATACTCGCCCCTAATCAAACTAATAGTGGGCGATTAAAATAAAAACGAAACATAACATTAAGTATGAATTGGTTACCTTCCCAAAAAAACATGAAGTATGAATTTGAAAAAAAAATAGTTGAGTGGTCAAAACAAAAATATGATAAAAATAGATGACTAAATAGATAATTTACCCATTATTTTATTGTTATAACAGAATGCCCATCTCCTTTGAGTTGCTTGAAACGCAAGTGGAATGATTCTCTCCACTCATCTTCAATCTGTTTATATATAAAGAATCCTTTCAGAAAAACAAAACAAATTCTCTTATTTAGAAATTCATGAATCAACATGTTAGCCAAATGCTCAAATTCAACTTTCATACTTATTTTATCAAGTTGAAAATGGGTTCAAGCAAGAAACTTGAATCATGAAAGCATGTTAGCAGACCAGATGAAGCATGAAGCCAGGCTTAAACCACGTTTAATATCAATATATCACTGTCAAAATAGCTTAAAATAAATTATTCTTTTCAATTATAGAGTAAATAGAGTAAACTGCTGGTGAAAGCCAACTAGCAAAGCAAACTGCTATAAATTTGCATGGCCCGAAAGTATCACTCACACTCTCATATTCAACTCTAGAAATGGCTCAAATCTCAGTTTTTCCCACTGCTATACCGTTTTCATGCTTCATGGCCTTGTTTCAAGGCTCTTCTGCTGCGTCCATTACTGCTGGTCTAACGATGAAACTCATCCGAAGGGACTTGCTGTTCCCCGGAAACCTCAGCACAGCCCAGAGAATTACAAGAATGTTGCAACCTTCAGCTAAAGCTTTAGCTGATAAATTCAAGTGAGCATCCCTTTTGAGGTCCGGGGACGAAATCCCCTATTAACAGAAGTACTGCATCAACAGATTTCATAAAACATACTAGTGGCGACCATTATTATGTCGGTTTGATAGATATCAATGTAGGGTTACACAAGATGAACCTTGAGTCAGATTCGTGAATCTTCAATCTTAGGGAAGATGGTTCGGATTTTACAATTGTTGATTCAAAATATTCTTAGAACCATTAATGAGAACATTATATAGCCGCGTAAAGCATACTATGAAGTGTTTACGGTGTTTAAAACCTACTATAACAAGAAAGACTTGACAAAAAAAACCCTAAAAACTTGTGTTTTTTAGCACGTAACCATGACTATCTTATAAATAGAAAATGTGTGCACCATTTCCGCGAGAATAAATGGTGCTTTTGTGTGACGGCGATTAATCATTAAGAACTGTATTAGGAGCATGACAGTAATAAGACGCGTGTCATTTATAATATGTACAGTTTCAGATTCCAATGGATTAAGGAAAAATGTGTTGGTGATAATTTTAGTTATGTCAGCTGTTAATGACACATTGAAATGACATGTCCATTTCAACTAGAATGATCATTAGCACATTTTCCCGTAACACATTGGAATCAGATGTCGTCTATGTCATAAATGACATGCATGTTTTGTTGCTGCCATGATCTTAGTATAGTTCTTGATGAATTCAACATCGCCACACAAAAATACCCTTTATACTAGCAGAAGCGGTGCATGTATTTTCCATCTATGAGATAATTCTCACCTTTGAAATGTAGAGTCATGGGGACAAAGTCTTAAAGCCAATTTTGATAAAGTAACATAAATAAAAAACACAAGTTTTTTCAAGCTATTTTTGGCATAATAGGCTTCAAATGATTCTATACTTATATGATTTACGCGGCACTATGATATTTTTAACAATGACGGTGATAAGAGTCCTTGAGTCGACGATTGTCCCACCCGAACCATCTTCACTAAGGTTGAATATTCCAGGATTTGACTCGAACCCCATCTTGTGCAACCTGACACTGATATGTATCAGCTCGACGTAGTAATGGTTGTCATTGGTATGTTTAATGAAATCCGTTGATGCAATAGTTTGACGGTTGGGGGATAGCATCCCTGAACCCCATGAAAAATGATACATTGGATTTATTAGTGAAAGGGACTAAGCAGTTGGAGAACTGATTTTGAATGATCATTTTTTCGGCTAGTTGGTTTGCTAGTGAATATGAGGCCGGACTCAATCTTAATACTCCTGAAATCCGACCTTCAAGAAAAAGGAAGTTTTAGGCGACCTTCAAGATGATTTTTGTTTTGATGCCATCAACATGAAATTAGAATGTCTCGAAAGAAGCATTACTTATTGTTGTAGCGATTAGGCTTGGACGGATCATCATATTGAATATTGTAGATACATTCATTATTATGACAAAAGAACCGACTTTTTACTGTCTGACTAAATTCGTGACTACATAGATGCTTGTGGTAGGTGGTGGAAGTTTTAGAATCGTAGTAGCCATTGCAAAGCTTACATTACGTCTAAATTAGACCACTTTCTATATCCATCATCAACGTTACCCTATGAAGTTGGCTTGTAATGTAAGCTTTGCAATGGCTACTACAATTATAAAACTTCCACCACCTACCACAAGCATCCATGTAGTCATGAACTTAGTAAGACAAGAAAAAGTCGGTTCTTTTGTTATAATAATGAATGTATCTACAATATTCAATATGATGATCCGTCCAAGCCTAATCGACCTACAACAATAGGTAATGCTTCTTTCGAAACATTATAATTTCATGTTGATAGCATCCAAACAAAAATGCCAAGAAGGTAACAAACTAGTGTTGTGCTTTCAAAGGGGTGGTTAGTGGTTGACAATGACAAGCCGTATGGGTGCTAAAACAGAGTGCATGTGAATCCACTAACGTGACTTGGAAACGACCCATTTGTTGGGTTAACCTTTTTCACTTGACTCAATGTTAAATAAAAATAATTAAAAATGAGAGAAATATTATACAAGTTCAAACTGAATCAAGGAATCTCGTGACTAAAATTGTTGATTTTAACTCTCAATGACTAGTTCTGAACTTTGATCAGACTCTTGTCAATATAACAATCTAAAGAAATTTTAAATATTCGAATATTATGTATTTCAGAAAACAATAACTTTAGTGTCCAAATAACTATTCAAGTCTGCACTCTCATTCCTGCTTCATGTCGCTTGCTCTAACATGGCTTTCATACATGAATGGATTCTCGGTTTCTTCCTTCAAAGGAGAAGGAAAGCGATGCAGGTGACACGACAGATGCATTCTATAGCTTTCTCATCCGTGGAAACCTCAATGAGTCTCTTCCGATGATCTATCGTTACAACATGTCATTCATATATTTTCAGTTGAACTGGCAACACCACATGGGGTCCTGAATAGAAATTGCATTTCATTTTTTTGCTTTCCATACAAGCTCAATATGAACGCAGTTAAAAAACTTAATACCCCTAAAATATGTCATAGAAATGCATCCAAAAATTAATACGCATTTGGTTTCTCATCATCCTATTTATGATCTTTAACATGTTTTCTTAAGAACTTAATACAGCATGCCGTCCTTAGCAACTCTACAAAACTTTCCCCTTTCAATCAATGGATAACAGGCTTCAGAGGATGTGCTCTAACATTTGACAAGTCGAGAGCAGAATCGAGCTCTTCATCTAGTTCACCAACGACACTTCTGCAATAATTAAAGGATAAAATGCTAAGGAACATCTTATAGAAAACATATACAATAAGTCAACAAAGCTAACAACGGAAAATCCCTAATAACGAAGAGGAAAAGCGACATACATGTTGTCGCCTCTTATTATGTACAAACCCAGCACAAGTTGCTGAACACCTTCCTGCAAATTTCAACTCGTAATAATAATGACGAAGGAAATTATCCAAGGGTCGAATTATATTATATTTAGGATAAAGAAAAACCTCTTGCTTCTTCAATAAACTAAGTGTCAAAGATAAAATGAATAAATAGTAATAAAGACATAGCTTGTTGAATAGGGACACAAACCTTGGTGGAATACACACGTTCATGAGATTCGTCGAGAATGATATTTGTGGCCTGGTCGAAGCCTTTTAAAACTCCCTTTGTTTTCAGGAAGAAAAAATAGAGTAAATGCCGCAAAATAGGATTTAATTGAAACTAAAAATAGTTTAGAAATATGCAAATAAAATGATCGTATAGAATGCCTTGACATACCACAATGTTGCGCCCATCATTGGTAATGACTGAGATTGTCTCTGCACATAAAGGAAATGATTTAGAGAGAGAGAGATGGAGAGAGCCTAATTAACTTTGACCAAAAATGCCAATCAAGATTATACGAAATAGATAAACAGTTTGAAAGTTGATGCGGATTCAGCCCCGCTGTTCATTTTTCCTTTAGATGCTATGCTAAAAGATTTCAAGAAACGGAGGGGTTATTTCAGTTTGCTTACGATCTACAAGAGACTCAAGTCCAGGGCCAGTTGCCATTTTGAAGCTTAGAAACAACAGTAAATGTGATTAGCAAGACGGGACGACAATTTTCTGCACGAGGAAAGGGAAGATATAAGATCCTGAGTGCAACAAATTCATGCACAATATCAAGTAGACGAGATATACTACAAGAACACAAGAATAAGATCCATGGAAAGTACTATTGATTCAAAATGTCATTTGGAGAACCAAAGGTGAGCATACAAAAATATCATTGAAAATAACACGGGGACCAATGTTTCATGACTCAAATGCATTGTAATTCTTCAAAAATTCCTTTTAGTATCATGGAGACAAATCCATTATTAGAGCCCTATACAACTGCAACGATAGTACTAAATAGTGCCGCATCAAAACATTTTTCAAGGTCGCAGCGACACCACAACCCCATTCGCAGTACAAAAATTATTTTTAGGAAATGAATCACGCCGTAATGTATGCAACAGCGACCGCAATTGAGTACTATGACTGCAACTCAATATTTTATCGGTTGTCTCAAAAAGTTGAAAGTAAAATGAAACTGGTGAGCCATGAACAATCCAGTAATCCTTTTTGTTTCAGATAGAAAGTTTCACAACTCTTGAACGTCTTATCTAAAAGGAGTCCAATTCAGAAGCCAACCTACTATACTAAACAAGAAAAGACCCACTGTCACACACAAACAAATTACAAACAAAACAAAAGGAATCAAGTGCTTTCAGCATCAACCCAGATTTCAAAATCACTCATTTTAACAAACCCAAGTCTCAGATTCCCATATTTGATCAGATTAACAACTCAAAACTATAAAATTTATAGTAACAGTTAAGAACCAATAAGAAATCATTACATAAGCGTTAATAAAAAAAAAGAGATTTTAAAGGAGAGGAGCCCAAACCTAACGCGGAGCAGCTTAAGGGGTCAGTTAGGAACCCGAATATTAGTCGGGTCGGTTCCAAATTATGCCGGCTGAGTTAGGGTAGAGACAAGGGGAACAAGAAGAATGAAGCAATTGAGAGCTTGAAAATAGTTTATTGGAGTGTTGGTCATATTTTATTTACATGTCAGATACTCTTTAACAAAATTTTATTGATTTAGTACTATTTCTAGAAAGGTGCCGATGCTTGGATGAAACGCAGACGATGATTTGCGTCTTTGTGAGATGAGTATTAGATTCATAAATTTTTTTGAAATTATGTCTGACAAGTAATTAATTTTTATTAGAGTGATTTTTGTGTAAAAACGCCATAAAATATTAAGGAAGTAACTTTATTTTTTTTTGAAAAAAATAAAATTTAATACAATAATTTTTATTTCTTATCTTTTATAAAATTAAATCATATAATCATAAAAAAAATCACGTACCTTTCACACTTATCATTTTCTTCAAATAATTAAATTTTTTTAATGAAATCTTTATTAAATCCTGGAAATAAGATAATAAAATACTTTTTTCTTCAATAATAATAATAATAATAATAATAAATACTGTCAATAAATTTTGTCTCGTCTCTTGATTTTGTCATTATTTAACCAACCTTTTTGTGTTGAATATATTTTTAAATTTAATTGAGCTTCAAGGTTATTATTAGATACGTTGAGAGAATATATATATATATATATATCGAGTATAAAATTATTATAAATTTATATTTTAATATGTTTCTGATATGCTGATTGAATGGATAATTACTGAATTCTTATAAATCACTGTTAGTTTAAGGGAATATGTTGCTTAAGGGGATAACGCACATTTAAAGGTTCACTAGTATCAACTCATTAATTTTTTATTAATGTGTGATGCCAATAAAAGAATACAAATGAATGACTAAATTATCAAAATAAAATAAATTTAAAATATAATAATAAAAAAAGAATACAAATGAATGACTAAATTATCAAAATAAAATAAATTTAAAATATAATAATAAAAAATAATTTTTTAAAAAATCAATGATAAAAACTAGATTATTAAAGTTAACGTCGGTCTTGTCTAGGGTAAACATTATTAATTTATTGGTTAAATAATGACAAAATAAGAGACAAGACAAAGTTTATTAACATTATTTTTCATTATTATTATTATTATTGAAGAGAAAATATTTTATTACCTTATTTCGAGGATTTAATGAAAAATTTCATTAAAAAAGAAAAAAAATATTTGAAGAAAATGATAAGTGTAAAAATCACGTGATTTTTTATGGTCATAGTACTTAATTTTAAAATATGAACTTAAATGATTGTTTAATTAAATTTTATTTATTTTTATAAAAAAATAAAACATAATTAATTCTTTAATATTTTGTGGTTTTTTTACATAAATATCACCCTAGTAAAAATTAATTACCTGTCAGATATAGTTTCATAAAATTTTACAAATCTAGCATCTATTCTAGAAATACGCGGATCATCATTTACGTTTTATTTGAATTGACGTAATGTCAGCGTAAAACGTAAATGATGATCCGTGTCTTTTTACAAAGGGTATTAGATCGATGAAATTTTTTGAAAGTATATCTAACACGTAAATAAAACTTGTTAGGGTGATTTTTCGATAAGAACGCGTTGATTTCTGTTTGAAAGGTAATGACGTGGCGTAATCTTTGTCGTAGGTTACTTTTTAAGCAATGGGCGTGGCATTTGATCTTGCTGTTATTGGGTAGTAAATATTTGATCTTGCATTTGCCATTTGATCATGAATGTATTAAATTAACGTGTTTATATATACATACAAACAATTCTACAATGACAAATTAAATTCTTTCTACCAAATCTAAAAATATATTTTAATTCTCCTATTGTAAAAAAATATTTAAAAATAAAAAATTAACTTAATCATATATCGAATATTAATTGATTAACTAAAATTTAATAATTTTTAAAATAATCATAACAGAGTTAATCTTAATTTTAAAATCTCAAAATACCATAAAAAATTAAACACTTGAATATATAGTTTTAACACTTAGTTTTATATTAAATAATTTAATAATTATTTATAATTTTTGAGAGGTGAATGATAAATAAGTATTTTAACCCGATCCAAACAAAAGTTGAGCTCGAGAATAGAAGAATCGATAATTAACCAGAAGGATCCAAAACCACGTATACTGGTGAACAAGAAAATATCTCGCCGGTTTATGGCTAAAATGAAATAGAAACATTCTGCCCAGAATGTTCCAGCAACTTCCAGACCCCACCTTTCTAGGTCTGGGACTGGATACTAAAAAAATCTGCATGTTGCCCTATATATTTCCGTTCTGCCTTCGTAATTTCAGCCCAGCAAGTGCAAAATTCCCTTGAACTTTCTCATATCACAGAGTTAAACAAGAAAGCTTATCAATAAATTTCTGTTACTTAAATCAAAAGCCGACTTATGGACTTCCCTTTTCCCCAATATCCATGGGATGCATCGTCTCGTCCTCGCCACGGTAGAAGCTTTAGAGGGATCCCGGTTCAGGTCATGCCCGAAGCCTCGTCGGTTCAGTCTTTGAAGCCCAACACGGTATCCATCCCCGTCCGCTTTGTTTGTTCGGAACGCGGCAGATCCGACTCGGCAATCAAGATCCAGAAGGTGTTTAGGGGATTTCTGGTGCGAAAAAACGTGAAGAAGATCATGGCAATTAGAGAGGAAGTTAATGAAATGGAGCGCAGGGTTCTCCAGAAAGAGACAGTGGAATTGATTCGGAATGATTCAAAGGAGAAATTGAAAGCGAACGAGATTCTGATGAGCTTGCTTTTCAAATTGGATTCCGTAAGTGGAGTGGATTCGCGTGTTAGGGATTTAAGGAAATCCGTTATTAAGAAGGCGATTGCGTTGCAACAGCTTGTTGACGCCATTGTTTCTGGTGATCAGCCCGTGAATTCCAGCAATGCCGAGGCTGTGGACCAAAGGCAGCATATTATCGATTCTTCTGATAATTGCATTCAATCTCTGGAGTCAGAGAATCTCGAGGAAACAACCAATGACGCTGAACGCGTGCCTGAGTCGTGTGAACCGGAAGGTACTGCTGCTGCTGCTGCTGCTGCAGCAGCAATTCAAGGGAATGAGGAGGAGACGTCAGAAACTAATGGAATCGAATCCTTTGCCAATCATGAGAATACAATTGAAGAAGATGATGAAAACGAGGGGGAAGAGAAAGGGATGAAGACTGTGAGTGAGGAGGAAAATGGGAGAAAGGAGATGATGTTAGAGAAGATAATGGAGGATAACGAGAAGATGATGAGGTTGATGGAGAAGTTGTCGGAGAGGAACGAAACGCAGACTCGGATGTTGTGCGCGTTGACTCAAAGGGTGGAGCAGCTTGAGAAAGCATTCTTGTGTGACAAATTGAGGAGAAAGAAAAGGAGAAATGACGAGAAATCGCAGGATACCAAAAAGTGTGGAGGGAAGAGATCTTCTACTTTCTAAACTTCTTTTATGTTGTGTTGTTATCAGGAATTATTAGTGATAATTGATACAGAAAATAATCTCAGTGATAAAAAATGTAGTATAATATATGATTTTAACTAATTTTTTTTGGATTTATCAAAATGACCAACTAAATCGTAATGCGATCGATAATTCGTAACGCGATCTTCGATATCGCAAATTAGTTTCCAGATTCACAACGCGATTCTGACTATCGCATTGCGATTTTCTAAATTCGCGTTACGATTTTCCTAATTCACAATGCGAATACGTAAATCGCAATACGAATACGTAAATCGTAACGCGAATCTGACTATCGCAACGAGATTCTGACTATCACAACGCGATTCTGACTATCGCAATACTGAATTTCAAATTCGTAACTCGATTTCTAAATTCACAACAGGTTTTAGTTTCGCAACACAAATGTTTTGGGTATATAACTACGCAACAGCAGCAATTCATAACATAAATCCCTAAATCACAACTCATCCCATCTCCATCTATCACTCTCTCCGGCGACATCTGTTCTTATATCCAACGACATCCTTCCCCATCCGGCAACAGGTTTTAGTTTCGCAGCTCGTTTGTTTAGTAAATTAATTTACAATAATGAAATCATCTACCCCATCCAGCAACATGTTTTAGTTTCGCAGCTCGTTTGTTTAGTAAATTAATTTACAATAATGAAATCATCTAATGTTGATCATGTTTGAATAGATTTGTGTTTTGGAGGGTCATGGGAGAATGTTCATGGTGTTTTACAATATATGCATTTACCCATGAATCTTCAACTAAAACTGTCATTAAAAAAGTTGACTTATGAAACTCTAATGTTACGTGTTGCAAATAAATTGAATTTAGAGCCCCTAAGTGGATTTAGGTTATCTTATCAGAGAAATGGTAAAGTTTATTTGTTAACCGACAATGAAGATGTTGAACGATTCATTGCTTACATTAGTGTTTCAAGTGATGATGTTACATTGTATGTTGTTGAACCTAGAAGTAGTGAAGTTGGGTCAGTAGCGGGTAGTAATCAACTAAGTTTTTCAACCTCAGTTTATGGTGCTCAAAATTTAATGGTTCCACCACAATTTCATCACCAAGCAAATATTGTTTTACCACATTTCTAATACCAAACACAATCTCAAAACCCACAACCTTTCCTTAATCCAAATCTCAATCAACTTTCAGCACCAAATTCTGGTTTTCGTATTGACCAGTTAGACGATGATGAGTCAACAGAAAAAATTGTGAGTACTAGTCGGTATTCGAAATTTGATCTTGGTCAATACCCGGACTTTGATCTTGGTTAATACTCGGATTTTGATGATTTTTCAGAAGAAGAAACAGACCCTGCGTGTAATGATTTTGATATTGGTCAATACCCGAATTTTGATGATGAAATAGCCGTTGCCGAGGAAGATGTTGTTGATGATAATGAGGAGGAAGTTACGACTGTAAATGAACATGTTGAACATCCATTCTGTAATTCATATAACCCTGAAGAAGAAAAAGAAGAAGAAGAAATTCCTAAAGAAAAGTCTCCGAAGAAAATGCCATGGGAGTGCAATTGGAATATGCCAGAATTACTTCAGATACCGGAAGAAGAGTTGGTAAAGATAGCAGTTGATTGTTACACAAAAATTATTCGTATCAAGAAAGATGATTGTTTTGATACAAATGAAACTTGAAGATAGTTTTGTATACGAAATGTGTGGAAGATGGCTATCAACTAAAAGTTAACAAATCAAGCAAAGATCATTTCGAAACAAGGTGTATGATTGACAAAAACTGTACGTGGCGTATGATTGCAAGGAGGATAAAAGATTGCGAAACATTTTAAGTTAGGACTTTTATTGATAAACATACATGTTCAAGAACCCAAGTTTTTCCTCACCATAGACAGGCAAACAAAAAGGTGTTGGGTGGTTTTCTGGCTGAGTTAATGTTTTTGAATGGCAGGGTATATCGGGGACATGAAATTATGACTGGCATGAATGCTCGGTTCAAGATTAGTATCTCATATTCTCAAGCTTGGAGAGCCAAATGTTATGCCTTGAATTGTTGAGGGTGTCGCCAGAAGCATCGTTTGCCCAATTGCCGGCTTATTATCACAATTTAAAGCTGAAAAATCATGGGTCGGTAACTCATATCAAAACAGATAGAGATGGACACTTTGAGTTGCTGTTTATCGCCATTGGTGCTGCGGTTAGTAAATAAATATAATTTTGTTGACTCATTTTTGTTAGTTACATGTATTTCACATTTAAATGATTATATTTCTTGTGTATATGATTTTGTAGATTCGTTCATTTATTACTTGCATGCGCCCAGTTATTATAGTTGACGGACCACATTTAAAAAGTCGATACCTTGGAGTAAACTTATTAGCAGTAGCCATGGATGCTAACAATGGGATACTGCCAATAGCTTACGAGGTTGGCAAATTTGAAACCTCTGATTTATGGACATGGTTTATGGGGCATCTTAGGGATTGCATAGGTCCTATTAGCAATCTGACAATCATATCCGATAGGGCAAACTCAATTGACAACGCTGTTAGAAGGTGTTTCCCAGATGCTTTTCATGGACTTTGTGGTGTTCATTTGTATAGAAATCTAAAATCAATGTATGCTGGTATAAAAAATCACAAATGGACATACTGGAAGGCTGTAAAAGCTTATCGGGAAGTGGATTTTAATAAGCATATAAACTGTTTAAGACGTGTTTTGCCTCAGTGTGCTCAAACACTAGAAGATGTTGGGTTTGAAAGATGGTCAAGAGTACATCAACTTGGAGTAATATATGGTTTCATGACGTCTAATAGTGCAGAATCAATCAACGCTCCAAGTCGTCATTCCCGTAAATTACCCATTACTATGTTAATGGAGTTTTTTCGAGCCTCTATTCAACAGTGGTACTACAAGAAAAGAAACCATGCAGGTATTATTTCTTTAAATTCGTAACTTATCATATATGTTACTAAGTATTATTTATTTAAATTTACAGGAACATTGGAACATCGTGTTACACCATGGACTGAAAAAAAGATAACGAAACGTGTTGTGAAGTCAACGTCATGGAGAGTTGAACCATGTTCAAACACTTTGTTTTAAGTACTGGATAATAACTTAAATGGTCTTGTCGATCTAAATGCAAAGACGTGTAGTTGTATGAAATGGCAAACATCTGGTTATCTGTGTGGCCATGTTATAAAAGTTGCATCGACAGACTTATGTCGAGATTGTCTACCCTATTCCACATCCTTCTGAGTGGGACATACCAGATGACTTACAAACAGTTTTACTACCAGCCATGGACAGAAGACTACCTGGCTGACCAAAAAGTCACGATCGTATATCGTCTAAGGGTAAAGAGAAGAAGAGATCGACATGTAGTCGGTGCAAGGAAAGTGGTCATACAAGGTTGACATGTGGATCACCAGTGCAATCACAATCATCTTTTCATCTACCAAAATATGGATCCTCATCAAAACCCCAATCACAACCGGCTTCACCTTTTGAGACTGTTAACTTAGGTGATTTTTAAATGCAAACGTTGTATTATATGTATATTATGTGTGAACTTTTAATATTTTCAGTTAGGCATGTATTAGTAACTTGAGTTTGAACATTGCTATGATATGTTCAGTTGTTATCACTTATTAGACATTCATTTGACTATCGCAACGCGGAAATCGCAACGCGAATATGACTATCGCAACACGGAAATGACTATCGCAACGCGGAATTGACTATCGTAACACGGAAATGACTATCGCAACGCGGAAATGACTATCGCAACGAGAGAATCGCAATGCGAAAATGAAAATCGCAACGCAAAACTTAGTTTCGCGTTGAGATTTTCATTTTCGCATTACGATTCTCTCGTTGCGATTTTCATTTCGCATTGCGATTCTCTCGTTGCGATAGTCATTTCCGCGTTGCGATAGTCTGTTTTGCATTCAACATAATGCATATTGAAATCAACAAATCAACTATTACATTTCAATCAATTAAACAAGCACAAATAATAATTATGTACACATCAATTAAACAAATCAACATTTACAAATCATCTTTTACAAATCAATTAAACAATCAAAAAATAATAATAAGAATTATTTCCTCATCAATTATTGAATCAACTTTTGCACCCATACATCCATTTCACGCAGCTCACTTCAAGATTAACCTGCAGAAACCAAACATTGAATCAACAACACTTTCTACACATCTAAAACCTACAAACAGCAAATTATTGAATTCTAGCTACTTAACCAAACATTTTCAAACCAAAAAGAGTATATATGTTTAACAACACTTGCATTTGACTTACAAGTTGTTTATGGACACTTTCATAACGCGGATGCAGGTAGGCAGCATCTCGCATATATCGTTCTAGCCATAAAATGCCGAAACCACAAGCCTACTGCACCTCTATCTCTATCGGTGGGAGGTAGAAACTGTGTACTTCCTGTCGTCAAACGCTCCAAGCACATGCATACGAGAGGACAACAATCCCCTCTGGCTTCCTTCGTTTGTTGTGGCGCGGTCTCGTATCTGATAACTGTAACATTGAACTTCTTTGGCTTCTTGTTTCCAGAATTAGTCCAATAATTAATTGCATCCAAGAATTTAGCCAAATGAGAGCTCAATCCCTTAATAATATCTCTCAAATCAGACAATGATATGTAATTTATCATGCTGTCATATACTATTGTCTTTAGGGATGGGAGCTGAAGCTCGACGAGAAGCCAATGAGTACGTTCTAAAACAGGGATAAACATTTGCATCGAAATGTAATAATTCAAATTGCGCACTTATTTATGAACACCTTTAAAATATTTAAACAAATAAATACTAACCTTATCGACCTCACCATGCAGGATAAAGTTTAGTTTGCCCATTAGCCAACACATATGATTCTTGTCGTTGATTCTTCAAGTGAACTACGTGAAAAGACGTCGGCATAATTGTATATCGCATTTTTTTTATATTTTTCTTCAATTTCCTTACAATTAGAAGACGTATCACCCATGCATCAATATGCTGTTTTACAAAAAAAGACATATATTATTGAATTACATAAATTTTAAAAAAAATTAATCAAACTGAAATATAAGAAGAAATATAAGACTTACCCCCCATCGAAATAGCCGTTGTCTTCAACCCCTAATAATACACCCCACCAAGACCGTTCAATCAACAAATGCATATCATCGTTGAGTTTGTATATGTCAGCGTAACACCCTTGGCTCCGCTCATGTAGATAAAAATTAACTACGGTCTTAGCCCAAAGGGTATTATCCATAATTATTTCAGGTAGTTGTTTCCTCTCCACTTCATCTACCAGAATGGTACTGGCCGGTAACTTATACGAAAGCCAACAGTCATCCATCATGTCCGGCACGTGAGGGGGATTCTCAATAATTCGATATATTACGTCGTGTGAATCGGGCTCTAGAATGTTAGGAGGGACCTCTTCAACGATGACAGTGGCATCTTGAACGGTGGGAGGGGACTCTTGAGGGATTATAGGGGCCTCTTGAACGATAGGGGATGCCTCTTGAACGATGACAGGTGAGTCGGGCTTTTTCTTACGGATTCTTCGCACTATTGGGGTGAACGGAGACGTAATGGCACGTGCACGCCGTCTGATGCGTGAACTCAGTCTTGCGAGAAAAACCGGACGTAGAGCATCCACCTTAGCGGGCCGCTAAAAATAAATTAATACATAAATCAGTAAATAAACATACATGATATTAAACAGTGAAAACAAAGACAAATATATTTCAAACTTGCACAGTATTCACCCAAGTCATTATTATATCATTATTCAGAAAATGCATCAGATAACATTCCAGAAGTAAGTACTTATATAAACATTTAAAAGGACAACATATAGGTTTAGTGCAGGTTCAATGACAACATAAAGAGTATTAGTTTATTCTTGAAACTTAAATTTTCAACACTGTGAAGTTAGTATTTGTCTTTTGGTTGAAGTAATGCAATTCATTCAAGTTTCAATTTGCATAAGAAGAATAGAATCTGAAACTTAAAATTGCAACGCGAAAATGACTATCGCAACGCGAAAATGACTATCGCAATGCGAATTTGACTATCGCAACGAGAGAATCGCAATGCGATTTTCATTTCGCATTGCGATTCTCTCGTTGCGATAGTCAAATTCGCATTGCGATAATCATTTTCGCATTGCGATAGTCATTTTCGCGTTGTGATTTTGTTGTTGCGATTTTTATTTCGCATTGCGATTCTCTCGTTAGGATAGTCATTTTCGCGTTGCGATAGTCATTTTCGCATTGCGATAGTAAACTATTCTTCTTCTGCAAATTGAAACTTGAATGGATTGCATTACTTCAACCAAAAGACAACCAAAAACAAATACTAACTTCACATGGTTAAAGAATAAATAGTATTGGCAGCAACCGAATTAATTTACTAAGCAATCTAAGTGAAATTACGAGTAAATTTATCATCAAGTTAAATATGAAAAATATTAAACTTACCTCGTTGCGTAGAGTATGAACCTCGTTCTACAACGATGCTACAATCTCACGTAGAGCTGCTACCTCACCACGTAAAGTAGACATCTCAACACGCCATGCACCATTGTCATCGCGTAAAGTATCGACCTCCTCACGCAAGGCATTGACCTCATTACGTAACTCCCCTAACTCATCCCGTGGAGGTGGAGAACAGGGAGATAAACGTCGTGGCATCTTTATCGGTCGCCTATCATGAGGTGATGGTGGAGAAGAGGCTCGATGATGTGACAGAATAGGTGATGACTCTCGTTGTGGAGGTGTATATTCGGGTCGATCAGGTAATGGCTCTGGGTGAGGTGATGGCTCTCGAAGTGGTGGCTGCTCATCATTCGTGCCATCAAAAAAATGCTTACTAGCTTGCCACCAATCAGTGGCAAGCTCAGCTTCCGTGGGTGTCAGCCTCTGTAATAGAGTGTTGGCCTCCTAACAATATAAAAGCTCAAACAAAGTTAAACGTGTACTAGTAATAACTTATTTATAAACATATGGTAGTATTTGTGTTAACTTAAATTATTTATTGTAGTATACGGTAGTAAATCTTCCCATTGCTGCAAGGACCGTTTCCTTTTCTAGGAAATAGCCCTAGGAATATCATTAGAAGTTTTTAATGCATATGTCTGCATGGGGGGAAATGACTCAAATATCCAAATCTACAAACAATATAATAACAAACATTAGTAATTGTTAAAGAATTAATTATAATTTTGGAAACATTATATAAAAATTATTACCTTAAAGGCCCAAATAAAGCCTGACAAAGTGTATTTGGAACCATCGCAACGCAAACTTTTCCAATCATCAAAGGCAGATGACAACTTATTCCATGTAGCTTTCCATATATACGAACCCCACGGAAACAGGTTCCATGCATTTAGGTACTCTACCAATTTAATTAGATAATTAGGAATAGGTTGTCGGGCCTCTCTGCCTAAAAAGTCGGCTTGCAAAAGTATTAGAAGGCATACTCGGACAACATCAACGTCATCCATCCGAGTAAAATCATCTTTCTTATTCAATAATCTCGTCAAGTCTTCCACGTGTAAATTCGACTTCTCCGTTGACAGCTCAGGAAAAACCCGGGAAAACCATGATAGGCGGGTAATATGTCTAGTGTACCGATCTACATCATCGTATCCGAAGCGTAGACTGGTGATTAAGCAAAACTCCTCCTGCCCAAAACACGTATACGCCGGTGGAAAATCAAACCATATCTCTTCATCACGACGTTGTATAGTCTCTGGTATATCGCTAGTCATGGTTTGAAGAAACAGATGGGTCAACATAGCATCTCCACCCGGATGTTGTACTTTCAGCCATGGCCCGAAGCAAGTATCCTCAAATATTTTTCTTTGTGCAGGTGAAAGCTTCGACGCAATTGTTTTGGCCAGGCTTACTTTATTTCTTAAGGTCAATTGAGCCGAATAAAATTTCTGCAAAAACAATAAACATACCAAGTTAGATATACCAAAAACTACACTGTGAAAATATAACAAGAACAATAAACATAAAGAGTAGTAGTTTATTCTTCAAACTTAAATTTGCAACACTGTGAATTTAGTATTTGTCTTTGTTTTTTGGTTGAAGTAATGCAATTCATTCAAGTTTCAATTTGCAAAAGAAGAATAGTTTCTGAAACTTAAAATCACAACACGAAAATGAAAATCACAACACGAAAATGACTATCGCAACGCGAATTTGACTATCGCAACGCGAAATGAAAATCGCAACGACAGAATCGCATTGCGATAGCCATTCTCGGTTTCAAATACTAAAATTGAAAGAAACTTGAATGGATTGCATTACTTCAACCAAAAGACAAATACTAACTTCACAGGGTTAAAGACTAAACAGTTTAGCAGTATTGGCAGCAATCGAATGAATATAATAAGCAATCTAAGTGAAATGGTTAATCTATTATTGAAAACACCAGTAAACTTATCATCAATTTCAATACGAAAAACCTAATAATAATGCAAAAATTTTAAATTAAAAATAATTAAAAAAATTAACCCTCGGTGGTTGATTTTCCATTTCTAACCGTGAATGATTTCGCCGTAGATGGAGATTGATATCGTCAGAGATGGGGACTGATTTCGTCGAAGATGGGGACGGATATCGCCTTAGAGAGTGAGAGATGAAGATGAGACTGAGTTGTGATTTAGGGTTTTAAGTTATGAGTTGCGATTACGGGATATACTGTGGACGGTTCAGTGTTCTGATATATTAATATATTCGTGTTTGGAATTTGAAAAAAAATACGCGTTGGATACGAATGGCGCTATGTAAATCGCATTGCGATAGTCAGATTTGCGTTGCGATTTACGTATTCGCATTGCGAATTAGGAAAATCGCAACGCGAATTTGGAAAATCGCAATGCGATAGTCAGAATCGCGTTGCGAATCTGGAAACTGATTTGCGATACCGGAGATCGCGTTGCGAATTATCGATCGCATTGCGATTTAGTTGGTCATTTTGGCAAATCCAAAAAAAGTTGGTTAAAATCGTATATTATAAGACATTTTTGATCACTGAGGTTATTTTCTCTAATTGATAATTCCACTTTTGGGGTTTTTAAGATTTAATCACATGTATGTTTGATCAAATAACATGTTACAGTATGAATTTAAGTGCATTTTTGTTGAATTGAATGGTAAACGAAAATTAATTGAATCATCTTAATAATAAAAAATAATATATTTTTTTTAATCTTAGAAGACTTCAATTCAAATTGCATTTGTAGATGCAGAGCATGTGTTACTAATAAACTAATTTTTTTAGATAAATATTATTTTTTATTTCAGATTATTTAAAAAGAAAATAAAGAGCGAGAATGTCACAAAGAGATGAGTACTTCCTTTTAAGTGAAATGTCTAGTAGAGAGTGGTGGTTTGTATTAGTTTGTGTAGCTACGATGCTGTTAGAGTTTGAAACGGTTAGTGTTTGTTAGATTACCGCCTACTCAACCAACTCTACCATAGCAATTTATATAAATGACCTGGTCTTCTTTGAAAGATAATTTCAATTCTTTCTATAAAGTTGGAGTGTGTCGCCTCTCTTTCTGTACTCTTAACATTCAGACATCTCAAATTAAGCTGTGCAAAGATTGGTTGTCTGAATTTTGATTTCATTTTAGTTCAAGCTGCTTTATTTCTTAAGTTTCAGCTGGTCCAAGTGTTAGAAAAATGGCATTGAGTAATCCCATGGAGTTGAAAGAGCATCTGTTGAATTTGCACGAGGTATGTGGCCAACTTCTATTGCGATTAGCATCAGAACGGGGAATAGATCTGCGACAGTCTGATAAGTAATTTCTGCGCATCCTGTATTGTGCTTGCAATCTTCTTGATTAGGATATTAGGATACTGCTTCACTATATTTATTTTACCTAAATTTCTCAGAATTACATGAAAGGAAATAAGATCAAGCTTAACTACATTTCTCACTTGACTAAAAAAAGAAACGAAGTTATCAGAATTTTACAAGGAATTAACTAATGCAACAATATTCTCTGTACATATGGCGCTGCAATTCCCATGCTCCTTAAAATGACTAAAGCCAGAAAGTACGACCTGAATCCACAGAACCCTAAAGGCCAGTAGATGAAAAATCCCCAAGAAACAGGGAGTTAAATTACTGCGGCAGCCAAGGACAACACAAGCTCCGGTATTCCTCCAGTACAGGGAAAAAGTAGCATCTTGGAAGAAAGTGTTTGAAACCAAAAAAATTTACATGTTTCGAGCTCTAACCACTGTCTATTTGGCAGCATACCAGTTTTGGGCACACTTGGCATCAACAGCAAGGTCAACTTTAAGAATGTTCTTTCCATCAAAGGGTTTTGACATGCACTCGGCAACAATTGCTTTTGCTATCTCAGCCGACTCACTTGGTCCTTCCAAGATTACTTCATCATGAACCTGTCTAAAGGATGTTATTCCCACATAATTTGCAGAATCAAACTAACCTAAGAAATGTGATTACGAAGACGTACAATGCTTATATATTGGATGAAGACAAAATGTTCAAATTTGTGAATAATACATGTAACCAAAGCATTGATCATCAGTACTGGAATGTAAAGACTACTGAAACGATAAGAGAAGTAACCGAGTTCCAGAAAGAAGAATCAGGCAGCATAGTCCAATTGTTACTTGAAAGAATGAAATATAGGTGAAAATATAATAGGCATACCTGTAAAAGAAGCCTCCAACCAAGCTCCTTTAGACATTCGTTCTTTGATATTTGTAACATTGCACACATTGCAACATCAGCAGCACTCCCCTGTAGCGCTCGACTAGATGAGAGAGGGAGAGAGAAAGAATAGTTGAGTGCATGAGGAAGAAGACAACCTGCACTGGAGTATTGATAGCAGCCCGTTCAATATGACCTCTTTGAGCACGTGTACAATGATCAAACGATGGGAAGCGGCGAGCCCTTCCCAGCAATGTCTTAACACACCCGTATTTCTGAGCATCAAATTTACGCAGTTTCTGCCATTCAAGCACTTCTTGTCTTTCCTTGTACCATAGGTCAACAGTGTTCTTTGCTTCTTCAACAGAAACCTAAGAGAGGTTCAACAATCATTAACGTGGAGGCTTAATGAATTTTAAGTTTCAACCGATATTTTAGGTCCCATACCTTCCAATCCCTAGCAAGCCCCACAGGAGTTTTTCCATATGCAATGGAAAAGTTGAGCATTTTAGCTTTTCTTCTTTCAGAACCAAAGGCATCCTAAAATGAAGAAAAAAATCAACCTAGTAGTATTCAACAATCAAAACCAAATCCTAACTATCAGGTAACAACATCTCAAGATATGCAGACTTTTATACAACGATGTCCTGTTACATTTATGAATAAAGTATGTTAAGCAAACCAATGAGCATGCCACAATGATTTCAACATAAAACATCAAATACTTAAAAACTTTAAAATTAAAAAAGCAATTTAGGTTATACTTGAACCACAGTCATTGATACATGGCAAGACATCTAATACAAGTATCCAGGATAAAGGTTATTAGTTCAATATATTAAGATGGTTTTTGGATAATTTCTAGCCCAGTCCTTGTCATAAGATATTTACCTTTCTGTTAAATAAAACTCGGCCAAAGTGAAATGTTTTTTCTTCTTTTCTTTAACGTTACCTTTAAAAGTGGAACTGGTGGTTTCTCTTCACCAGGTTGTGGATGCCACTCAAGAAGAACTTGCCCCTTTTCAACGGCTTCAAGGATATGAGAGTACATGTTCATTGCAGTCCTTGAATGGAAATCTCCACCAGCTTCGAAGGCATCCAACATGCTTTTACAGTCAGCCAAATGTGCAAGAATCCTAAGCTCCAGCTGTAATAAGAATTTATACTCTAATGAATAAGGACTTGGTGCTAAATTCAGTTCTGCCAGTCAGTCCAGTAGCAGATTTTAATATGGATGGTTGTGTGGAGTCTACTGAGGAGAGGCATGTTGCTAATAGCAGTTTGGGTAATACGTGTGAACGATGGTTTTCAGGAGGTAATGATTCTGATTTAAATTCCACTGCATTGATTCGAAGAGCCAAAAGGTTGTTGATAATGGAGGCATTGGATCAGGCAAGCATTTCAACAGTTTCTTCTCCAGCTTTTTCAGTTCTATTGGAGGAAGCCTTAGCTACTTGGGAATTCAGTAAGCTTCTGGGGGTGTCTTTCAAGGAAGGGAAGTCATCTTTTTTGGAAAAAATTATTAAGTTGGAGGAAGATTTGAGGCTGGTTTGAGCTTCGATTTTCTTGGCAGGTCTGGTTTTTTATTTTTGTGATGATTAACCAATTAGCAATTATTTCATGGAACGTTCGGGGATTGGGAAGAAAGGAAAAACAAAGATCTGTTCAAAATATAGTTCTAAAGAAACGCCCTATTTTTCTTTTGCTTCAAGAAACGAAAATGGAGAAGATTCAGAGGCAATTTTTTAGGAGGAGTGGCTTGAATACCCTTCAAGGGTTTTCAGAATCTCCAGCAGTGGGTTCTTCTGGAGGTTTATTGAGTTGTTGGGATGAGAGCATGTTTGAAGTGGAAAATCATGTTATAAACAGAAGGTTCATTGCTACGTTTGGGAAATTTCGAACTTCACAACTTAGGTGTGGTTTTATCAATGTTTATGGTCCTTCTGTCGAAGAAGAAAAAGCTTGCTTTTTTGAAGAGTTAGCTGGTTTTATTTGTGGTCAGAGTATTCCTCTTTGTGTGGGAGGTGATTTTAATGTGTATCTTTCAGAAGAGGAGAAGATTGGAAGAGCCCAAAACAGAAATTCAATCAGAATTTTCAGTCATTTTATCCAACAGACAGGGTTAATTGATTTACCTTTGCATGGGGGTAGGTTCACATGGCGTAGCAATCAGGATATACCCACCTTTGTTAGACTGGACAGGTTCCTTGTTGATGTCCGTTTCTTGGAAGCCTTTCCTGAGACTATACAGTATTTGTTACCTAAGGCTATATCAGATCACAATGCCATTTTTCTTGAGAATGGTGGAGTTAGTTGGGGTAAAAAACCATTCAGGTTATTTAGTTATTTGATGGATGAAGAAGGTTTTCAGAATTTAGTTGGCTCTGCTGTACAAAACTGCAAGAGTAAACACAACAGAGCTGGAATTTTTCTATCTTGAAATCTACCAAATTGGCGATCAAGGAATGGGCAGGGAATAGAGATCAATACCCAGCTGAAGAAATTGCAGAATTAGAAAGGAATATCACTTAGCAGAGGATAATTTCCAGCAAATGCAAGACTATAATGGCTGTGAAAAAACTGCAGAATTGAGGACTATGAGAACAGAATTATGGAAGATTATAAAATTGAAGAACAGATTTGGTTTCAAAATTCGAGATCAAAATGGGTGCAAGCAGGGGATCGTAATACAAGATTTTTCCATGCATGTGCTTCAGTCAGGAGAAAGAGGAATTTTTTGAGTGTTCTAAATATCAATGGTGAGGTTAATCATGATCCAGCTATCATCAAAGCTACTGTTAAGGACCATTTTTTTGGAATCTATAATTCTAAGTCTACCTTGGAAGTTGAAGATTTGAAGCTGAATTTTTCCAGAATTTCTGGGGAGCAAAGTGTGTTTTTGGAAAGAGAATTTACAGAGGAAGAAATTTGGGAAACTCTTCAATCGTGTGATAGTAACAAAGCTCCCGGACCAGATGGATTAAATATGGGCTTTTTCAAGAGATTTTGGTCTATTCTAAAGGTAGATATTCTGAAATTTTTTCATAATTTCTACAAGGGGAAAGATTGGGAACATGGAGTCAATCATACTTTCATTACTCTTATTCCCAAGGTGTCTAATATTGGTGGATTAGATGATTTTAGACCCATAAGCCTTGTAGGAGGATTGTACAAGATCCTTTCTAAATGTCTTTCAAGGAGATTAAGGAATTGTATTACTGGTTTGGTCAGCCCAACGCAGTTTGCATTTATTCCAGGTCGTCAAATACTGGATTGCTCTCTTATAGCTAATGAGGGAGTTGACTTTTGGAGGAAGAAAGGGCTTAAAGGATGTGTGTTTAAAGTGAACTTCAGAAAGGCCTATGATACTGTGGATTGGTCCATTCTCTTTACAGTTATGGAAAAAATGGGATTTGGCTTCAAATGGAGGAGTTGGATCAGACAATGTGTAACAACAGCTTCAATTTCAGTTTTGATTAATGGGTCCCTTCTCAGGAATTCCCTATGGCAAGGGGTCTCCGTCAGGGCTGCTCTTTATCTCCTACGCTTTTCAACTTGGTTGGGGAACTTCTAAACTTACTGCTTTCAAAAGCAGTATCTGAGGGACTGTTTTCTGGACTGCAATTTGGAAGAAACGAGACGGCTTTTAATTTATCTCATCTTCAATTTGCAGATGACTTAATTATTTTCTGTGGAGCTTCGAAAAATCAGATTTTAAATGTTAAGAGGGTCCTAAGAGTGTTTGAACTGATTTCTGGCCTTCAATTGAATTTGAAGAAAAGTACATTATTTGGTGTTAATACAGCAGTCGAGGAGGTTGAGGAGTGGGCCTCGTCTATTGGTTGTGCAATTGGGAATTTTCCCTTTGAATATCTAGGTTTGCCTCTCGGTGCATCTAGGAATTCTTCCTCTTTGGGATCCGGTGGTTTTGCAATTTAACAAGAAGCTTGCAGGTTGGAAATCGAACACTATTTCATTGGCAGGGAGGTTAGTCTTGATTAAATCGGTTCTCTGTTCACTTCCAACCTACTATTTATCTCTGTTTAAAATTCCTTCCTCGGTTAATTCCAAACTCAATTCCATAATGTCTAAATTCCTATGGGGAGGTGGAACGGATAAAAACAAGATTCATTGGGTCAGCTGGTCCAATGTGTGCAAATCTAAGGAGGAGGTAGGTTTGGGAGTGTTGAATATTAGTAATATGAACAGAGCTCTACTGGAGAAATGGTCTTGGAGGTTTGCTAATGAAAGGAATGCTGTTTGGAGGAGGTTGATATGTTCAAAATACAATCTGGATCCCTACTCTTTACTGTTCAATAGCAAGATACCAGCTCAATCCTCTTGGATTTGGAGTTCAGTGGTTAATTATCATTTTAAAGAAGACTCATTTGGCTCAAAATTTCGAAGTATGTGCAGAATTCAAGTTGGTTGTGGTCAGTTTATCCGTTTTTGGCAGGACAAATGGGCAATGGACTGCCCTCTTAAGGTCTCTTTCCCACGGCTGTTTGCTATCTCTTCAAATCAGAGTGGTAAATTGATTGATTTCAGCGAGTTTAGTTCTTTAGGCTGGATTTGGAATATTCGATTGAGGAGGAATTTGGCTGATTGGGAATTTGAACAGTGGACTAATCTGATGACAATCATTTCTAATTTTTGCTTGTCTAAAGATGCCAGCGATGCTCTGATCTGGAAAGGGAAAGGGGATGGTGTTTATTCTGTTAATTCATGTGTGAAGATTTGTTCCTCGGTTTCTCAGGCGAACTCTTTTTGGAAGAAAATTTTGTGGAAAGGATTGGTGCCACCAAGGATTGAGACTTTTATGTGGCAGGTGGTCCTTCAAAAACTACCAGTGAGGACTGAACTGGCTAAAAGAGGGGTTTCGGATATTGTAGATCTTTCATGTCCTTTATGTAATTTGGTGGATGAATCTTCTTCTCATTTATTTCTCTCTTGTTTTGTCGTGTGGTCTTTGTGGAATAATTTTTGCAGTATTGGAGTATCAGTTCGGTCTTTCATGGAAATGCGCAAAACTTTCTTCTAACTTGGGCCGGTTCTACTATTTGGAACTTTATTCCGATTGTTGTTATGTGGACTGTTTGGGAAGCTAGAAATGACATCGTCTTCGATAGAGGGAAGTTGGATCAAACTAATTTATTTTTCTTAGCTAGAGTAAGGCTTGCATCTTGGTTCCTAGCTAAGTTTGCAGATTCGGTCATTTCTTTGGATTCCCTTATCAGTGACCCTTCCCTTGGGGATTCATGTTTCCCTCCAAACAAATCAATTGTCTCTACCATCCCGTGGTCCCTCCCTCCTAAGGGCTTTGTTAAATTGAATGTGGATGCAGCTACTAGTTTTGACTGGAAGAGCAGTGGAATTGCAGGCATCCTAAGGGATGAAGAAGGTCTACTTTTAGGTTCTTTTAAGACGGCTTCTGGTCCGAGTCCACCTATTCTGATGGAGTTAAAGGCTGTTAAGGAGGGTTTAAATTTCTTTCACTCAGTGAGAGGAGGTATTAAGGGTCGGTTGATTATAGAATCAGATTGTAAAATGGTAGTGGATTGGATTAAGGATGGATCTTGTTGTCCTGTTGTCTATGCCTCCATTGTTAGGGAGGTAGCTGTTAAACTCAAAGAAGTCGAGGGAGTTATTAGATGGGTGGCTAGGACAGCCAGTATTGAGGCTGATGGGTTGGCTAAGTCTGGTATTGGTTAATTTTTCTTTGTTGTTGGGATATCTTATTTTGGGTTTTTAGGTTGTTTGTAAGGGTTTTATCTTATTATTGTACCCTATGTATCTTTATTAATAAAGTTTAAGGCACTCTTTTCCTCCTTCCTCCGATTTAGGAATTCAATATGAGTTTCTTAAATCATGAAGGGGGGTTTTAATGAGGCCTCAATTCCTATTAAAAAAAAACTCAATGAACTTACCTGCCCGTAATCTGCAACAACAAGGGAATTTCCAGGGGCAGCTATAAAGGCCTGACGTATCTTATACCGATCCTTCTCTAGAGCAGGTTGATTCTGGTTCAGAAAAAAAATTCAAGAAAGATGCTAATATTATCGGTTCCCATCCCAATCCAGCAGGCAAGAGAAGGATTTGAAGAGTAACAAGAATTATCATTTTGTTTTCTTCACGCCTTACTATGACAAATTTTGCGTAGGAAACAACCATATGATTACGTAGTAGATAACTATCCTGTGATATGAATATTTAGGCTATATATAATCTGGAAAAAAAAACATAGTCCAATGTGCTTCATCAGAAATAAAATTTGGGTCTAATGCTATACAAGTAACATAGTGGTTATAGACATATATAAAACCTTGAGATTCTAATAATTCAAATGCTAACTAAGAAAACCGCAGCGAACAAAATAAAAGAATGAACCTGCAAATTTGGTCTCCTTGCAGATAAGCGCCCAGTTTCTGTATTGATATTCAGTGAACAATGAACACGCCCGCTGTTGCCTGACACATTACTCCCCTGCGGTGAAGCGAGAGCACTCACCTTATAAACCATTCAGGAATTTATGTTACAAAATTAATTAAGAGAAAGGAAATAATAGCTGATGTTAAGGAAGAATTTAATACAATGCCTTCTTAGTTTTCATAACTAATTAACTATTCAGACAGTAAGAGGAGTTGCTCTTCAAAGTTATCTTCTTAGCCAAACAAGCATTCACAATAATATGCGAGGTTCATGACCACTTAGCATATATTTCAAGGAACTGCCATTATAATTACACATTCTTTTGACTTTAGTCCCGGCAGTATACATAATTTTACCGATTTGTTAGCATCTAGCAGCACCCAGTAGTCACGAACAAATATCAGACCAGCATTTTTATAGCTTCATCTGCTATTGATGAATTAAAATTGACAGGAAAAGACATGATGTAATCATGTTGTCACCCTCATAATAATAATATGACCACACATAATGAAGCACATTGTGGACTTATGCACGGCTCTTGTATTGAGTAGAAATTCCGACCAATAAGCATTAGCAGAAGCTCTCAATTAAAAAAATAAGGAAAAAACAGATACTAAAGAGGAAAAACAGGGATAGTAAAAAACTGTAAAAGCTGACGGATCAACATGTATGAACAATGAGGCATCAAAACCACCTGCAAGGGGAGAATGAAATTGGATATTAACGAGTCAATAGAGCAAACTTCACATAATGAGGCAATAGCATGGCATGCCTCCCTCCCCTTTTCCTCATCCTCAAATGCGGCAAAAGCAGTTCCATATGCAGATGTATCAACATCAGTCATTGTTTCAGGAAGATCATCAATATCACCATCATCTGTGTCTTCTGTGAAATCATATTCAGCGGAAACCTTCCCAGCTAAGCTCTTCAAGGCATCACCACCAACCGCGGGCCAACCAGTGGCAGTGTAAATCTCAGCAGGGAGCTTAACACCAATGCTACACAGCTTAATATTGCAAAACTTAGTGGGAGCCTTTTTGCCTTCTTCAATCACTTTATTGACATTTGGAACTTTGAAAATTTTCTCATCAGGGAGACTCACACTTGGATCCTTACTGTAATAGGAAATAATCAAGTTAATGGTTAGAAACTTTACTCTAAAACTTTCAACACTCTCTCCCTCTCTGTTGGAACCCTGAAAGTTTTCTAATCAGAAAGACTCAGATTTGGATCCTTAACAAAAACACATGCAGATCTTTAGGATAACAAAAAATGATAGTTGATTGGTTGATGGTATGAATAACTCCATAGATTATAGGAAATGAACGTTCATAAGCAACATCAAGTTCTGAATATCTTGCATCAATGTTGCTCAGACTCTATTGTTTTTGCAATACCCATATCCTATACTCATGTGTAATACATGGATATGGAGATATGACCTTCAAGCATTCTCAAAACACACGAAAATGCTTGGAAAAATCTAACTCTACCCGAAAGATACCCATGCCTGACACTCACACCAACTCTGCGTAACATAGTCTTGCACTGCTCTCTTACAACCAGTCAACCACCGACAACAATACAATTCGCAATGACTTAACAGAAAGAAACTTGAATCCAGACATGTAATTAGGATATTAGAAGAATTTCTGATTTAGGAAATGATAAAATGCATCTTGCTCATTTATTCAATGTAATGCCTAAATTTCAGCACAATATGTTGATTAATATTGATGTTCTTGTACACAAAATATGTAATTAGTACCTGTTAAGAATGCCTCCATAAAGAAGCTGACGGAGCTGAGTATCACTTCCGACATTCATATACTTGGCATCATCACAATATCTGGATGCCCATGTGCGAAATCTATTAGCAGCAATCTCTTGCTCCGCTTTAGCAACCTTCTCTAGCTGATTAAGATGCATTCGATCAACCAACATACCCTCACGTTCCATTTTAACAAGAAGCTCACCAAATGGTCGCCAATACTCTTCGTAGAAGTGATACATGGACTTACCAGGAACAGGTTTACCATCAAATACCCAAGACATGCTTAATAGTTTGTTTTTCAAGCTCTCGTAAAGTCTCAGAGTGCTTATTGAATCTAAGGCAGAATAACAAATCCATAATTTGCGTTCTTCCCGCTGTAACTCTTCAACAGGGGCAATGGTTATCCTTTTTCCCTCAGATCCATCATTTTTCACCTTTTTCCTGCCAAAGATAGTTTTCATTGATGTTTTACCAATCAGTTCCTTCTCTTCTCTGCGCAATTTAGTCCTTTCCATCACATTTTTATCACCAGAAAGAGCTTCAAGAGAATAACCGCCCATTGTACGTCTCGATGAGTCCCACAACCGTGCCATATGCATTGTGTCAGCATGAAATCCAGAAAGCTCAAGCCCATAGTTATTAATAACATGACTGTCAAAGCTATAATTGTGCCACACCTATACATCAAAATCAAGTTTGTTTCAGGACTTAGTATGATATAGTGCTCTAATGGACTATGCACCAACAAGCAAAGAAAAAGGTACAGCAGATCAGGGGAAACATGAGGAAGAAAGAGAAGTGAGCAAATGCAAGGCACATTTACCTTTTTGATGGATTGATCTTCAAAAAACGGAACAAATTCCTTCAGAAGATCCTTGCCGCCACCATCTAGGATATCGACCCAGATACAGGATTTCCCATTTCCAAAATCTGCATCTTCTCCAGAATAAATACTGAAACATGTTATTTCACCATGATCAATAGGCGTCTCTTTCTTCACATCAATATTAGATACCTGCCAATATTCTATATCAGCAAATATACAATAGCTCTTTTGTGATGCTTGGAGCAGATCCATATTCCATACAGCATGTACTACATGTACAACAAAACAAAATGGTAAATGAGATGAGAACTAGCAGAAGTAATACCTCAGTATCACATGCATGAACAAGATGCCTATATTTAGTTGTAAGCATAAGAACAACTTCCTTTGCTGCAGTGATATTATCTACAACAAGAACCTGTTCATAAATTCTAGAAAGCTGCTTGTGAATATCTTCTCGAGAAACTAGGTGAGTTCCTTCAATGCTAGTAACCCCATTTTCATTGGCTTTTTCCATTGTGGTCATGTTAGGATCCATATGTCCTCTGTCTTGTATGTCATCTGAAACTGGCCATTCTAACAAGTCATCACTTGAAACTTCTGCTCCAATTGAAACTTTTAACTGCTTGGAACCATTTATCTTTTTGGCAGATGTACTTTTGGCTCTAGAAATTTGTTTAGTGCTAGTCAGATGGTGTGAAGAATGATCCTCAGAAAGAAAATCGGTATCTTCACCGGTTCCAAGTTCTTGGTGGTTGTCCAAGACTAGCCCTGGATAAGATCCATTAGTTGAGACTACAGTCCTGCTAGAACACTTCAGCTGCTTAAAATCATTTATTTCATTAGTACCTACACTATTTTCAAAAGACATTTGATTATTACTGGTTGGTAAGGGTGTGCAATGACTCCCAAAAAGACTAATACTTTTCCCACTCTTTCTGGAAATGGATCCTTCGTTATTAGTTGCTTTAAATAGTGGGGCAGTAAGCTTCAAATTGAAGTATTGTTGGGCATTGGAGGAAGAACTACAGCCTTCAAGGCTCTCCATTTCCATCTCCTTATTCTTCTTCATCCTGCGAACTTCTGTTTCCCACGAGAGCTCAGCATTGGGTATGCTAGGAATTTTCGGAGTAAAAGTAAAATCATTCACTCGAAATGATACCATTGTAGGCTTTCCATAACTTGCTGGGTTTTCATTCTTTCTATGGTCAACACTTGCTTGTTTGCACTTGTTATCGGAAACATGCCAATCTGGTTCAGGGTGGACCATCCTAGCATAGTCAGAAGCAGCTACTTTAAGTTTCATATCTTTGGGATGATGGTAATGACGGGAACTACGAGACATGGTCTCACAGAGAAAAGAATAGTGAACACTCTGCATTGTGCACATTTCTCGCCTACAATGTATAAAAGAAAAGTTTGAATGAAGCATTTTTCTAGCATGTCATCTATATTCTAATGACGTCTACTAGAAATTAAACAATAAATGGAGTAAAATCCAAATTACATGCATATCCCAATTAGCATTCCAATCAAAGCTTCACATTAACCAAAAAATCATTAGCTCCACTCTATTTGTCATTTCCTTAAGGAAAATCACAATCTAGAAACTAAAGCACTACTGCCTTTCCATTCTAATGGCTTATGTACATCTAATGTCACGTTTCACCACAAAGCTCCATCACTAACCCCAAAACCCTCTATAAGAGGCAACGGCAGCACATAACCTAAAACAGTCCAGATAATGAGAGGGAAAAACAGCAAAAAGAGAGGCAAAAAACAGACACCAGCGCACTGCAAATAAACAGAAGCAATAAAAATTACACCTTTTTCCATTACATAAATCCTAAACCCCTGTAAAACATGAAGCAGCAGCTAATGAAACGAAAGCCAATTAAACCCAGAAAGAAGAAAAAGACGTTTCTAAGAAACTAGCTTACCCCCCCAAAAAACACACACACACAAAAAAAAGAAGAAAGAAATCGAAGAACGAACCTCTGCAAGGCTCTAGAAGAAACCAAGAAGAAGTGTACGGAACGGGACCGGGAAAGCCAAGGAGGAGGACAAAACGGTCTACCGATAGGGGTAGCAGCAGTTTGGGAAGAAGAAGAAAAACTCCCCATGGCAGCCATGATATCTGCAAGTCTAGCTAGCTTGGCGCTAGTGTTGTTTACTATACAAGGAGCCGTTTTGTTTTCTTTTTGTTGGCTGTCTGAGAGTGGCAAATATGGGAAAATCTTGGGTATCGGAGAGTAAAGGTTTTGGAGATGTTGGAGGGTTTTTAAAAGTTGGGCTGTGATTGTTAGAGTTGCAGAGTTGACGCCATGAAGAAAGAGGGGGTTGTCTCATGAAAGGAGAATAAGAGAGGGGAGAAGAAGAGAGGGGAGAAGAAGAGGGAAAATAAAAAGGAGGTAAAGATGGAAAGCCTAGAACCCTTCCCTTTTTCCTTTCGTTTTAAGAGGGGAAATAAAACTTAGGGTAAACTTCCCATGTAGTCACTACTCTATTATCTATTTTCTGTTTTAGTCACTTAATTATAATTGTTTTCAAAATATACTAAAGTCACATTTTCTTTCTGTTTTGATCACTCATTAAAAAATTAATAATGATGCTGGCATAATAATTCTTTTTAAATCTGACTTGGAATTATCACATTAGCAACATTTTTAATTTTTTAATTATGGGTAATCAAAACGGAAAAAATATGATGTTAGGTATATTTTAAAAAAAAATAGTTGTATGACAAAAACAGAACTAGAAAATAAGTGGATGACTAAATATAAAGTTTACCCTAAAACTTAATCAATTTAAAAACTAAACAAATCAAAAAATAGGGGAAATAAAATAAAATTCGAAATTTAAAACGATAATAAAAAATGACCATTTGAACTATAATTTGTACATTTTTTGAATCTTTTGCAATTAGTAATTCTTTTATATTTTTATAATTTTAAATAAAAATGATTTTGTATTTTTATAATCTTTATAATTTTTATAATTGAAATCTTATTTAAATAAACACTTTTTGCATCATATATATATATATTTTGATCTTTTTGAAATTTTATAATTTTCCATTTTTTAAAAATTTTATACCACGAGCTGTTTTCATATTGTATCATGTATTTTTTTTATTATTATTATGACACGCCAACTTAAACTAATAACATTAGTTTACAGATTAACGGTGATAACTATTAAAAATTTGGTATACTAACAGTGATAAGATTTTATTCATTTTAAGTTTTGGATGATGCTAAAATTTTCCAATGAAATTTCTTCCAGTTCTAACTATTAGAAAGAGTATACAAATCAGGCTTTCCGAATATTTCAGCAAATGAAAACCCAAACAGGAACCAAAAAGCAAATTTGGGTTGGTGGATTTGCACAATGCAGGTCTTTGGCATAGTAAAAGCTCCGTGAAATTGAAATATGCCATAGCCATGAGCTTCCTTTTCCAGGCACCCTCTTAGAAAAGCAGATCATGAATGGACGTGAGATTTCGTGTTTTTGAGTCCACGAAATGAGTTTTGATCAGGTCCATTAACAATCTTCTTGTTCCCATTGCCCTTCGTCCGAAGTTTCGACCGTCTCCGTAGCCATGTCAACTCTTGCTTGTCAACTACTCTTCTTTCTTCTCTTGCTGGTCGTCGTCGTCTCCATTCGGTCCTTTGCCCGCGATTAAGTGTTCAAGAGCAGTTACTACATCACTCATCCTGGGTCGAGCGGCCGCATCATCTGGCAGACACATTGCTGCGACTGCAAGTGCTTGGTTGAGACCCTTATTGGGATAATTCCCTTTCAACAATGGATCAACCATTTGTTGGAAATTTTTCTTATCTTTGAACAAGGGTGTTGCCTGCCAAAAAAAGGGTATATGTTTGGAAGTTAGTTGTATAAAAGTGAGTGTGTGGCACAGTTCAGTGATTGTTTAGAAGAAAAAAACATTCTAAACTTACCCAATTGACAAGGTTCTGTTCTTCTGTTGGTCTCGAAGTGTCTATTACTCTTCTTCCCGTGATTAGCTCCAGAAACACGACTCCGAAGCTGTAAACGTCGGATTTCGTAGTCAATTGGCCTGTCAGTGCATACTCCGGTGCACAGTAGCCATAGGTTCCCATAACCCTGGTGGAAACATGCAACTTATCTCCGGTCGGACCGACCTTTGCTAGTCCGAAATCCGAGAGCTTGGGGTTGAAATCCTGGTCCAGCAATATGTTTGATGCTTTAAAGTCCCGGTAAATCACCGGAGGGTCAGTCTGTTCATGCAAGTATTCAAGGCCTTTAGCAGCACCAATTGCAACTTTCATCCTGGTATCCCAGTCCAATGGATTCTTCTGTGCGGCTAAACCTGAAGGGCATAATCACAAACAACTGAATACGTTAAGAACACTTCAAATATCAGAATCATCCGAAGAACAAATCATGGAAAGAAGACCTACGAAGTTCTGAATCACGTCATCGGTAAGAGAGTCTAAACATTAACTTATGTTAAACATACCTAGAAGGTGACTCTCCAACGAGCCATTCGCCATGTATTCGTAGACCAAAATCCTTTGATCCCCATCGACACAATATCCAACCAACGTCACGAGGTTAGGATGATCAAGTAAACTCAACATCAAGACTTCAACAAGGAACTCTCTGTTCCCTTGGTATCCATTCCTGTCAAGTTGCTTGACAGCAACAACCTGATATAATGCAACAACTATATTTCAATACATGTATGATATGTATGTATGCATGGATATGTGAACAACCTGATTCGGGTTCTCAACCTGCCCTTTGTAGACCCTCCCAAAACCCCCTTGACCAAGCTGATTCTCCGAGTTGAAGTTGTTAGTAGCAGTGCATAAATCACGGTAATCAAAAGTTTTTACACTCGTGTTGCCTTTACCCCTTTTTACTATTTCTTCCGCAATGTATCTCTTTCGGCTTCCATCTGACAGAAAGAGGAAATTTTTTTGTTCAAAACATTCGACTGCGAGTATCGAATATGAATATGTATTCGACGCGAACATTAGGGAATTGTATATCCATTTCCATGTCCGTAGTTTCCTAAACAAAGATGAACATGGCTTGGCAACGGCAAAATTTTTAACATCTATTTCAAACACCCATTTCATCAAACAAATTGTATTCATGAATTAAGAAAAAAGACAAGTTCAACAAAAGCATATTCAGAAACATGTTCCTTCCATTACATGTTTGATTGATGATGAAATTGGAGAAAATTTGTACCACTCTTGAATGAAATATTGGCAAGGGAAGGCATGTCTTTTAGTGTTCTGGGCTCATCGGTCCCGTCACTGTTGTTGAAAATTTTCTCTACCGACATGCAACACGAAAAGCAGTTCATTGTTCGGTCGTCTTCTTCGTTGTCGTCAGAATATAAATCAACAAACAGAATCCTTGGAAACCCAGGTTTAAAAACCGACGGGTTAACAACAAAAAAGATCCCTTGGATAAAAAATTATAAGATGATCCAGTATGAGCTGTGAATTTTCTTAAATTTCTCAGGCCACTCGGGAGATCAAACGGAGATGTTTTTCTCATATTGTTTGTTCTGGCTTCTGTCATTTCCAAATCCCATTGACCCCATAATGCCAAAAATAGCTTGGATCTTGCTAAAGATAGAATCCGAGAGAGTTTTCTTATTTCTTAACTACCTGTTTCGTTATCAGAGAATTTCTGGAAAATCAATATGTTTTTCTATTATTATCTGCCTGTTTCTATTATAACCTGATCCGATCTTTTTCTTTGATCTGATTCTTTGTTTGTATTATGTTCAAGTTCGATCTAATACATTTGTACATGAATGATGAATCCATCTGATACACAAGAAATTGTATCACTATTGCCAGCAAGATAATAAGATGAAAAGGACCCTTATTATGGTACATTAATCTTTCCCTTTTTCCTGTTACAGAGAAATTTTAGGGGAAAGGTAAGAAATTTAACGTGATTATCTCTAAAATAATAACCTACTATCTAAAGTAATTATACATAGGTATGAAATTTCATTATGATGTGATAGATGTAGATTTTGACTTTTTATATTTAACAATGATCATTTAATAAACGGTACGATACACAAAAGGTTATTACTATAATTATTATTTTGTTGAGTCATTTAATTATTAAAAGTTATAAAATAATCATCTAATTATAGGGTATTTTTATCCTCCGACTATTACAAGTTACAAAATGATCACCTGAATATTCATATGTTCCAAACTCGTCATTTTATATTAAAAAAATTAACTTGTTGACTGAGATATGTTAAAATCTTATTCCGGAATTGTTTAAGTTGCATTTTGTAGATCTATTTTCCGTTTACATTATGTCGTTAAGTCAGTGCTTGAAAATAATGACGATGTCAGTAAATATCATTAAAATATAATTTTATTATATCTCAATCATCATGTTAACATCCAACTCAGACGATCGTCAATTTTCTAACAAATGATCATTTTGTAAGGTTTAATAGTTGAATGACTTAACAATATAGTACCCACAAAATTAGGAGACTATTTTATAACTTTTTATAATTGATTCAACAAAACATCACTATATAATGAATGAATGATTTGTGTACTTTACTATTTAAAAAATGCGTTAGTGAAAAGAAAATTGATGCTAAATGAAAAGGAAAATAGTTGTGATGAAGAATTAATTGGAAAAATTGGGGAAAGTTATATTGAATATTTAAAGTGTTTGGAGAAATTAATTTTGATAATGTTGTTAGTAATTATAGGTATTTTTATTTAATTTTTATATTTTTAAAATGAAATTAAAAAATTAGGATAAAGTACACAAATGGTCCTCTAATTATAGAATACTACTGTGATGAGTCCCTCAGCTATTAAAAGTTACAAAATAGCTCTTTGACTATATGGAGTTATTTTGTTGAGTCTCTGAACTATTAAAAGTTACGAAATGATAATCTGACTATTCATTATGTTCCAAACTCATCATTTTTCGTTAAAAATTTAATCATCCACAGTTATCATCGATTTTGACAATACTACAATTAGAAAATAATAAAATTAAAGATTTAACATTACTAATAAATACGAAGGTTTTAGTCCTTCAAACTCATTATTTCACCTTAAAAGAATAATTCTTGCAAATTCATGCTTTCGCCCTTGTACTTTTAACTTTTACATTTTAGTCCAAAATTGCAAATATATATATATATATATATAGAGAGAGAGAGAGAGAAAAGTCATCAACAGTTTACGATGAATTTAATGTTAAAGTAACATTTATCTATTTTCCTAAATAATTTTGAGTAAACTACTTGTTTGATATTTCACATATGATTGAGTTTATATTTTAGTCATCTAATTGCTTTTTTAAATCATATTTAATATTATGTTTTGTTTCTATTTTGGTACTCGACGTAAGACATCTAATAACTCGTTGACGTGATATTTTTATTTTTATATTATTTTTCTCTGTTAACATGTTATAATTTAAATCATTTTATTTAGACTAATAATATAGTGATTAGGATGACCAAATAAATTGTTCTTGAACAATTCTGATTTAATCCAACCGATCAAATTTAAATGGGTAAACTATACCAGTGACCACCCAACTATAGTCCCTTTTTACTTTGACCACCATTTTTAAATTATTGTCAATCAGGCCACCCAACTATTTAAATGCATTCAATCAGGCCACTGGTCATTAACAGTTAACGAAACTATTGACGTTGCAGTTAATAAAATTGGTATAATTACACATTTGATCACTATTGTCGCCACCCGATTCAAGGATTTAATTTATTTTAATTTAATATATTTAGGTTTTACCAATCAGATGGTGACACGTGTCACCCTCAAGTGAAATGAAAATTAAAGGCGTTCAAGGAGGACATGACATTCAAACCAGGGTCCTTGGGTGACAAATGAATGCATTAGCCACTACGACAAGTCCATTTTATGGTTTATAATAAAGTACATATGATATATATATCTTATTTCTTAGTATAATCTTAAATTCTTAATATTAAATATATCTTAACTTAAAATCACATCTTAACATTAAAAAGATATTTTTTTTGACTTATTGAATTTATTTTATTCTTTTCTTAACTAAAATATATATTTTAATATTACCTTAACTTATAAAATATATTTTATTCCTACCTTAACTTAATAATATATTTTAATTTTATCTTAACTTGATACATATATTATATTCTTAACTTATATTATTAAATATATTATATTTTTACCTTAAATTATTAAATATTATTTATTCTTATATTAACTTAAAAATATATATTTTATTTTAATTTTAGAAATATATTTTAAGTAAATTAAATCTTCTCGAATGATGACATATGTCATGATATTTGGCATTATTGACATGTGGCGTGATCTGATTCGAAGATTAAATTTATTTTAATTTATAAAAATTAGGATCAAATTGATAGAATATATAAGTAACAATGCCCAAATGTGTAATTATTATAATTTTATTAGCTGTCACGTCAAAACTTTCATTAACTGTTAACGGCCAGTGGCCTCTGTTAACGATAAGTGGCCTGACTGAATGCATTTAAATAGTTGAGTGACCTAATTGATAATCATTCAAAAAATAGTTGTCAAAATGAAAAGGGGCTATAGTTGGGTGGTCACTGGTATAATTTACCCAATTGAAATTAGGTTAAATTTCAGAAATGAGATATTCAAATTCAAACGATAAGTTAATTTCAATCTTTTTTTTTATGAGAAAATAACTTCAGTGACCGAAAATGCTTTATAATATACGATTTTAACCAAATTTTTTTGGATTTGCAAATATAACCAACAAAATCGCAACGCGAACATGGAAATTTTCGAAACTCATTTTCGTATCGATATAGGTAAACACAACTATTCGCAACGCGAATTTTGCAAATCAAATTCGCCAATTTTGCAATTTAATTACTGATATAGGTAAACACAGTAGAAAAATCCGGTTAAAAATCCAAATTCGCCAATTTGAAAACTAAGTTGCGAATTTGGTAAATTCGTGTTGCGAAATGTAAAATCTCGCCTCTTAAAGAAAAAATCATTTCGACTGTTCGTTTGTTTGGTTAAAATTAAACGAACGAACGAACATGAACATACCCTCGTTCGTGTTTGTTCAATTTATACGTAGACTTAGCAATTGGGATGTCCCAGGTTGAAAACCACTCCAGTGCATTTTATGTCCTTTAATTTTTTCTTTAAGAGGCGAGATTTTACATTTCGCAACACGAATTTTCCAAATTCGTAACTCAGTTTTCAAATTGTCGAATTCAGATTTTTTTACCGGATTTTTTCTACCGTGTTTACCTATATCGGTAATTGAGTTACGAAATTTGTGAATTCAATTTGCGAAATTCGCGTTGCGAATAGTTGTGTTTGCCTATGCCGATAATTAGTATTGCCAAATTCGCACGAATTTGGAAACTGTATTGCGAAATAGGAGTTCGCGTTGCGATTTTGTTGGTTATTTTAAAATCCAAAAAAGTTGGTTAAAATCGTATATTATAAAGCATTTTCGGTCACTGAAGTTATTTTCTCTATTTTTATTTATCCAAAGATTCAACATTTGTATAAAACTAAAAAAGTTGTCTACCCATTAAGTAATCTGAATCAATCTATGTGTGTGTATATATGCGAGTAGGAAGTACACATATTGTAAGACTTTTAGTTTTATACATTTTTATGGTCGTTAGATTAGAAAAATCAAAAGTTGAGATTAACAATAGAAAATGTAAAAATATCAACTAGAAAAAAATGTGTTAATCTCAGTATTTGATTTCTCACATTCAACGATCCTAAAAATGTGTAAAACTAAAAATTTTATACTAGGTGTAAGTTGGTCTTAACTTATATAGGGAACCAAAGATTGAGATTAACAGTAAAAAATAAAGAAATATTTATTAAAAAAATAAAATTAATTTTAACCTTTAAATTTTCTTCATTCAATGATCCTCAAAAGAGGTGTAAAATTAAATTTTTTATACAATATATATATATCAAAACTTGCATAAGAAGCTTACTCTATATACAATTTAAAAAGAAGAAAAATAATAATAAAACATAGAAGGCGGTATTATTGGCTTTGAAAGATGAGACTGCTGTTGTTGACCTGTCTTACATTGCACAGTCGAGGGAATAATATTCAATATATACAGTAGAAATTGAAAAAAAATATTAATTTAATTAAAAAAAAGTCACTTAAAAATTATACAGAAAATAATTACTTAAAAATATATTATATTATTTTTTAAATACACAAAAAATTAAATAATAAGATATTAAAGTATTTACCAATAAAGTTGATTTGAATAGTAGACAGTTTGATATTATTTAAATTAATTTTCGAGTTTAAGTTTTTATGTATGTAGAAAATTTTCTGGAGATTTACCCATTAAAATTAAGTGTGAAATCGAATTAATTAATTAATTAAACGGTTCTCCGAGTTAGCATCATGTGGAGCAAACTCTACATCTACAACTTTTACGGGTCTATCCTCAACCTTTGGCGATTCCAAGCGTATACAATGACAGCCACCATAAGAAGGGACTTACTCCCTTAACACAGTGTCGCAGTCTCTTTTGATAACAAAGGTACTGCTGGAGGAGTTTTGAGAGACCATCGTGGTACTTTCATCTTCGCTTTCAACAAATTTCTCGGCTAATCTTCTGTTTTGGAAGTTGAGTTATGGGACGTTCTCAAAAGGTCTCAATTTAGTATGTCAATATGGGTTCAAGCGAGTTGTTGTGCAGGCCGATAATGCACGTGAGCATTCCCCTCCTCTAGGTGAGAGTCATTGTTAGACTATTACAAAAAGCGTGGTACATTGAATTTTTACAGATTGCAACAAAAGCTAATGAAGCGGCGGATTACATAACCAAACACGTTACTAAAGAGAATAGATCCTTAACTATTTTCAACCTACTAATTTTTATTATATTCTCCAAAGAGATGTTTATGATCTGCCTTATTTACGGATTATAGGCTAATATAGTTACTTAACATTTCCTTTTCATTCCAAAAACAAAGAACAACAATGAATTTATTTTAATTTTATTAATTAATTCAAAATTTAACTCTAAATGTCAACAATACCATCCAACGTCATACTTAATATGGGAACTGGATAGTCATTACATTCCCAATCAAAGAGTGTCTCTCTCTCTCTCTCCCGCTTTTGTATCTTCACTCTCTTGCGAATCCAGAAGACACCCTTTGAAGAAAAATTAATACTTAACAATGGAGGATTCCTCAAACCCCATAGTTGAAGAAAGAGTAGAGTTGATGGTTTCACGATATAATAAGAGCCACGAACTAAGAACAGCCCATTTCATCACACCTTCGATACTAGACTCAAGCTCCATTGATGGAACACCAATTCCTAACCTTTCCTCTTTGCCAAGCACTTTTGATCCCAGAACTTGGCCCATCGAAGCAAATTTCTATGGCTGGAGGAAACCACAGAAGGAATGGAAATTGTGGGTCGTCAAGATGGCTTCTTTACACGAGTCCACATGGAAGAAGGCTGGTATTTTCGAAGCTATCATGAACTCAACGTACCATATCGAAAGAAACAACGATATGGTGTTTGGGGTTGCCAAGAAATGGTGCCATGAAACCAAAAGCTTCGTTTTCCCATGGGGCGAAGCGACGGTTACATTGGAAGATATCATGGTAATCGGGGGATATTCCGTTTTGGGGTCCCCTGTTTTTGCCCCTGTTGAATCGGAGGAAATGGGGGAGAGTCGGAAGAAACTCGAAAACTCGAGGAGAGAACTCAACAAGAGTTCACATAAGAAGGCGAGTCAGAGTGTATGGTTGAAGAAGTTTATGAACAGCGGTAGCGAGATCGAGCACGAGGCGTTTCTGGCATTGTGGTTGTCGAGGTTTGTTTTTCCATCTGCTTTTCAAGTTGTGGTTAACACTGTTTTCTCCATTGCTGTACACCTTGCTAGAGGAACTAGAATTGCACTTGGACCTGCTGTTCTTGCTAAGATTTATATTGATTTGAGTTGTTTAAAACGAAAAGTCGTTGCTTCGACACGGTTAGATGCCGATTGTGATGATGGAATTGTTGCAGTTGCACTGTGGTCACCACTTCAACTAGTCCAGGTCTGGGTTTGGGAGAGATTTCCGGGATTATGTCCAAGTCCGAGGCCAAATTCGATCGATAACAGTGAGCCGAGGCTGGCCTTATGGCATCACCTCAAGTGTAAAGTGCAAGATGTGAGGTCAGTTCTGGATTCAGCCAAGGAAAGTTTTGTGTGGCGCCCTTATGTTAATGATGTCGAGTTTTATGGAGATACAGCGAAGTGGATCTCGGTTGATTCGAGTTTAGACTACGAATTGCTGTCCTTGGCTCGGAGTTTGAGGGTTTCGGAGCTGGTTGGACTTGACTGTATCGAGCAGTACTTTCCGCACCGAGCAGCATTCCAATTCGGAATGGATCAAGACATTCCCGGTCATGTTCCACGATCAAACAATAGTGCATGGGCTAATTACAACACTCCCATTGCAGGTGGGAAGTTGTACATTCCTTCCAGGGTCTGCGAGGGAGAAGTTACTAGTCGATACTTGAACTGGTGGAAGCAATCTACGATGACCCTGCAAGAAGGAAGTAAAGATGTGTTACGAAAGCAAAGAAGTTTTACGATGACACCGAAGAGAACATCGATATCAAGTGAAAGTTATGCGTCCATAAATTTTAAGACGATTCTGAAGAGCTTGAAACGATCGGGGGAAGATGATACTTGCAGTGGTTTCAAGACACCACCAAAGGACTTAAACCAATCTCGGCTGCTTAAACGAAAGGAAAAAGGTAACAAAGCCAGCTCCGATCTTGGTTCTGCACTGAAAAGATTGAAACAGTCAACTCAATGTCCAAAACAGCAGAAGGAAGCTTGCAATGCAAGTTATGTCGCTCGAAGCTCATCGATGCCGACAGGTCCAGCATTTGGTTCGGAAGTAAACAATGAAAGTCAGAATGAGACTATTTCATCAAGATCTTTTTCCAAGGCTTTAAAAGAATCACAGCCGGATTTTGTAATTCAGAGGGAACTGAATAATTCTCCATTTCCTCCTGGTTTTCCTCCCAAATATTCTCTTAATGGAGATAAGGTAACTGCAGCTGCCGCGGTCCATCCCAATTTCACCCCCAAAAGTTCTATTAATGAAGATAAAGCTAGTTCCACAGGTCCTCCTGGTTTTCCTCCCAAATGCAATAGGGTGGAAGTAAAGGGTATTGTTGATGTCAAAGATTTTGATGAAGATGAAGGGACTGCAACAATTGATAGCTCTGCCATGAATTATGGCAGTGTGGGGAATAAAGTGGATGGAAATCATTCGGCAAGTCATCGTGGAAGTTTATCTTTGGATTCTGATGAAGATCAACTGACAATATCGGAAATGTTGAACTGTAATAGGAAGATCAATGATATCGGCTGCCGAGGTGCGCTAGATAACTCATCGGGACAATGTTCAGTTGCAGATGATGAGCTCCCAAGATGCGAGCTGATAACAACACTAGGAGCGACAAACGCTGCAAATGAAGCTGCAATCGGCATTAACGACGATTGTCCAAATGAAACACCATGGCTACGTCTCGAAGAGCGAATAAGCAGGCTGGAAAGATTGGCTACTAAAACGAAAGCAATGCTTTTTGGTAACATCTGATCATTAGAGGACCAGTTAGCTGTTGCATTCATTTTATAGCATGAAAAAGAAAAACAACAGCTTTATTGCTCAAATGTAATGTTTCCAGAAGACAAATTAAAAAGACATTTTCAATCTCTACATTTTCTCTAGTTTCCTAAGCTTTTATAATGCTTTCTTCACTGATCAAAATTCAAAACCCTAATCACAATGATTAAAAAACTTGGCATTTCCATCATCATAGGATGCAAAATGGGGAAGGGTTCTATTAACATCAAATAGAAAGCTAGGATAAAAGGCAAGTACTTGATCTAAATATTTTCCCAGGTTTATAAACACAGGAATCAATTAGAAAAGGAAGCCTCGTAATCAGGGATTTAAATAGCGGTTGCAGTCGCGTTTTTGGTTGGAATTTAAATAGCTGTTGCAGTCGCGTTTTTAATTGTGTTGCATTTATCGCGATTGTATATATAACAGACGATATTGTAATAATTATAGATATCACGGTCATACAATAACGACATCGGACGACACCACTATCGTTATATAGCAAACGCTATTGCGAAACTGAATCGTTATTTAAATCCCTGCCGATAACTAACAGTTTTAAGCTCATCAAGAAAGAAAGCGAATGCAAGCTTCAAAAACAAGCAAACAATGAGCTGGAATTGAATTGCAACAATTTTTATTTTAGTTATAAATTATCAGTATGTATATGACGTGCGTTGTTTTTCAGTCAAAATAATTATTTCTTCTCAATTAATAAATAAAAAAAATTTAACGTAGTAAAAGAGAAGTAAGGGTCGATCCCACAGAGACTAAAAATTTTCTAATTTATTCGTTCTTTGTTTAATCTTTGAACCAATAAGTGGATATAGTAAAATTCGAGTAATGGTAGAGATTTATTGATAAAGATAAATAAAATATAAGAAAGAAAAATAAAAGATTTCAAAGAATATTAAAAAGAAATTTAAAACAAAAATTCAAAAGAAAATTTAACATGGTAAATCAATTTTAGGCTTTCGCTTTGACTCAATTCCTTCGGATCATCGAATTATATTTTTCGTTGGGATTCACGACGTTTACTTTATCTACAAAGACAATCATTGTTACTCTTCTTTGTATACCGAATACCCAAGACAATCTTTGATTCCGGCTTCAGAATTTGATCTGAACAACATCAATTATCGTAGATCAACAATCATTTAAGTTCGTGAAGACCGATTCGGATTGTTGTTTCAATAACTACTAATTTGATCTCAATTCCCTATTACCAAGACAATCTTACCAAGTGTGTTCACAATAAGTTGAACGTGCTTTCAATAAGCCGATCATTCATCCCACATTTAATCGCAACAACATCTTGACCAAAGTCGATCTTTAATTTTGAAAACTGTTTTGATTTTGAAAATAAGCGCAAAGATTGAAAGAATATTTCGAAGTCATTCAAGTGCTTTTCAATTCTCGCGTTTGAATTGAGTAATTGTTTTAGCCCTCAACTTGAAAGAAAAGAAAAAAAAATAAAATAAAATAAAAGAATTTTTATTAAATTAAAGAAAGAAAGAAAGAAAGGATGATTCGATTAGACTTATCCAATGATATTTATAGTATTTTAAAATCTTAAAAATAAGTTGAAAAATAAAAGATAATTATTTAAATTTAAATCCTAAAAATAAAAAGATAAATACTAAAAATTTAAATTTTAAATTGCTTGAAATATTTTAGCTGTCCATTCATCTTTTAGAAACTGTTGAGTGAATCTTCTAGAATTATTGAGTAGGTACCATGTCATGTCAGCTACAATATCATCACTATGTCAGCTATCATATAATCACCTCATCATCTGTCACATCGTTGACTATAAGTCATATTTTAAATCGTATCTAATAATCCGATTATGAATTTAAAAAAATAAAAATGTACGATTTCATTGTTCTTATCATAATTTTTAAATTCAATATTCTGCGTCGAAAATATTTAACAACCAAAATTATCTAATCAATAAATAATTAATCATAAAGTAATGCATAATTTAAACAATAGTCAATATCTCTCGGATTCATCGTCAATGATAATATCAGTCCACTACTTTTAATTATGAAAATTGTTCTTCACGGGGATTATTTAAGAAATGTTGGAGAATACAGGGCAAGAGAATATATATATATATATATATATATCGACCATCCATTTTTATTTATCTAAAGGTGTGTTTGATTTACGGAATATAAGATTATCAGTAGAAATAAAAGATTATCAGGGAATAGAATTACTGGGAATAATGTATTTTGTGTTTGGTTGGTTTAGCAGGAATGTAAGATTACCATGTTTGGTTAAAGGAATAAAAGATTATTGGAATGTATATTTGATCAATTTATCTTTATTATATATTTGTTTTTTTAACAAGTTGAAAAATATTTATATATTTTCTTTAAAAAAATTAAATTCATAAAATGTATAATTTTTTTACAAAATTAAAATATAAAATGTTTAATGAAAGAGTAAAATTTTATTTTAACCCCTGAACTTCATATAAAATTTTAATTATAGATTTTTTTGTAAATCTAAAATAGTTTAAGAATAAATTTTTAATTTAACGTTCGTATTTTTATTATTCAATGACAAAATAAAGATATTTTTGAAAGAAAAAAAATTTAAGGGTATTTTAGTCCAAAACGCCGGTAATCTAACAATACCTAAGGAAATGGAGGTAATGACATTCCCGGTAATATACCCAAAAAAACCACTATTGGTAATGTAAGTTATTCTCGGCCAACCAAACTGGAGAATGTGAATTCTATTCCAATGGGAATCTCACATTCCCCCAACCAAACACACTCTAAGGGTGCGTTTGGTTCACGAATGTAAAATTACCAGTGGGAATGTAAGATTACCAGGGAATAAGATTACTAAGAATGTTGTATTTTGTGTTTGGTTGGCTTAGCAGGAATGTAAGATTATCATGTGTGGTCAAAAGAATAAAAGATTATTGGAATGTATATTTGACAAAATTGTCCTTATTACATATTTATTTTTTTAACAAGTTGAAAAATATTTACATATTTTCTTTAAAATATTTAAATTCATAAAAGGGAGGTAATGACATTCCCGGTAATATACCCCAAAAAATCAACTATATGTAATCTTGTATTACCGTGAATGAGATTTCCGGGCTAACCAAATGGGAATCTCATGTTTGGTTGGTCGAGAATCTCATTCCCGGTAATGTTTTATTACCAATAGTATATTTTTTGGGGTATATTACCGGGAATGTCCTCCCTTCCCTTAGGTATTGTAATATTACCGGCGTTTTGGACTAAAATGCCCTTAAATTTTATTTTATTTTCAAAAATATCATTATTCTGTCATTGAATAATAAAAATTCTACGAAGGTTAAATTACAAATTTATCCTTAAATTATTTTAGATTTACAGAAAAAAATCTATAATTAAAATTTTATATGAAGTTCAGGGGTTAAACAAAATTTACCCTTTCATTAAACTTTTTTATATTTTTTATTTTGTAAAAAAATTATATAAATATTATGAATTTAATTTTTAAAGAAAATATATAATTATTTTACAATTTGTAATATTATACAAATATATAATAAGAACAATTTGGTCAAATATACATTATAATAATTTTTTATTCATTTAACCAAACACTGTAATCTTACATTCCTGCTAAACCAACCAAACATAAAATACAACATTCTCAGTAATCATATTCTCTGATAATCTTTTATTCCTACATGTAATCTTACATTCCGTGAACTAAACGCACCCTAACGTATAAAACTGTGTGACGAGATCCTAGCTCTATATAAAACAACTAAAAATGAGATGAAACTGAAAAATAACTTCCTCCCAACCATCTATTTCTTCGGGACAAGTCAGGCCTATCAACTATAGGCCTTTTAAAATCAAATAGAAATTTATAATTAAGATATTGAATTCATTATAAAAACGGTTTGCTAAAAATAAAACAAAAAATTTAAGCTTTAAAAAATCAAAGCAAACCCAAAAATGAGTAAGAACAAACCATCCAACAGACAAGGAAATTATCATAAAAATAATCAGTTTACCTTTATCATGAAAAATATACCACATTATTTGTATGTCAAAATAATTTACTTTTAAATCAAATAATGAAAAAATAATATCTGTCCGTAGGAGAATAATTTTATTTTCAAAATCACAAAATTATTAATGAATAGACATTTTCTGAAAAGAAAATAAAAAATGAATAAATCTAAGAAATGGAGAATGATGTGGGAAAATTTGGGTAATAAAAGCTTAGGATTTTGAAGTTGCTTTATAGAAGGAGATGACAAGTTAAATTGACTGATTGCTCCTTCATATATAATTAAATTACAATTAGCTAAGGGTAAATGTATTTTGACTCGGTCTAAGTGGAGGGAAGTCATTATTAATCTTCCCAAATAAACTTCACGATTAAACATTGAAATTCAATAAGCAACCATAGAAAAGTCAGTTGGGATTGAAGATTAAACAAATTAGTCTATACTTGTACCTACTAAATTCCTCTAACCTTTGTTCTATAACTATACCTATATATTAATGGACTGCTCTTAATATAATTCCTCGGTAGTAATATATGTTGAATAACACAATTTTCTTACGATGAATAGAGCCGTCAACGATTGATTTTAATGGTTGTTATTAGGATGAATATATAAATTTATATAAAATAAATGTTTGGATCATAAACAAATAAAAATTATTAAAATAATTATAACTTTTAATAAATAAAACATAATTTATTTTATTACTATTAAAATTTAAACTAATTAACAATAAAAGATTAATTGTAGATATGTTATTGTATTTTTTTATATTTATTTAATAAGGATAATTTAATTAATGATGTATATCGATATATTGCAATACTAGTGTGTTTCGATGTTGACGTTCATTCTAGAATTTTCTGTTATTTTTATGATAAAAAATAGTTATCTGATAACTGATATATAAAGTATTTTTTAGGGTAAGAAAATG